ATCAATGAAAATGAAACATAGGCCAGAAGTCTTTCTGTCCTCTTTCAGTGTTTTCAAATTTCCATTTCCACAGTAGAGTGTGGACTTTATTTTAAAGAAATGGTTGTGTGACTTTCTGCCCAAAGAAACAATGAGATGACTCTAAAAGCAGATGGTCAGCCATGGTGTGAAAATGCTGTTAAAACACCAGTGACAGGAGGATGATGGCTCTCAGCAGGCTTTGGCTGTTGAAAGGAAACTGAATTAAAAGTCCGGCCCTTTGACTCTCAGGGTCAATAATAAGCAGGTATTATCTTGAACTGGTGGCCATCTTTGCCATTAAAAAGTTTATGAAAAGATACAATTCCTAAAGAAAAAAGAATAAACTTTATAGGAGGTAGGAGTGTTCAATTAAAGAGCCATCGAAGCAGTTGAATGTTAGTGCAGTAGTGCTCAGCTCAGCCAGTAAGATTATTGCTTTCATAAGGCAGATCATTTTGTGATGCTGCCAGGTAATAATTAGCATGTGATCAGAACATCTTCGCTAATTTGCCAAGCACCTTGTTTTCACCAGACATACAGCATTATGGGAAGCTACTGTATTATTAAGAAACTATTACAATGAACACTGGATTACCTGGTATGTGTACATAACCACTCCCCGCTCTGCTTCTGAGATTTGGAGACAAGTGACAATGAAGCATGAAGCATTCTAATGCCAGAAATGTTTTCAAAATTCCAGACCATGACCCAGGATCAGGACAGATTCTTACGCAGCCTTATATCCTCACCATCTCAGAGAATTATAGCATCATTAAAATTCAGAATGATGTTAAGGAAGTGATGAAAGAATTTTAGTCATCTGAGGCTGCATTCTTTCTGTTTACTTAATCTCTCTGTGCCTCAGCTTCTGCAGCAGTTAAAACGGGAATCCTGGGTGCAGACTGCAGAGTGCAGTTTTAAGGAATAAATGAGTAAAAAGCGTTTGACAGTACCAGTTATAGGGCAGATGTTCAATAAATATTAAATGTATTATGGGTAGCAGCAGTCTCCTGTGTCCAGGGGAACAGTTGTATGATTCATTTTAGAAATACCATGGACAAAGCATTTCTGCTAAGCCCTAGCCAACCAAAAAAATTCAGATAATGAGAGTACAGTGTCTTTTTCCTCCCCTTGTTTTTGTTAATTGAGGCGCTTCTGTAATTTAGTGTGAAAGGATAGCTCTCGAAATATTTTCTCATTACTTAGAAAAAGATGTGAATATACTAGGATTTGAGGAGACTTTCTTATGTTTATTAAACTCTCGGCATAAATTAATTCATCCTTTAGATCAGAATTAAGGATGTGTCAATGGTCTTGCTTACATAGTGGCTCCCTTCCCATTAACCTAGTGATAGCATTTCCAAGTCTCCTTTCACTTTTAGCTTACTTAGAAGGATACTTTGCATGCACAAATGCTTTTTTCCTAGGGATCTCAGGTCACTACATCCTTCTTAATCATGTGGTGAATTGTATTCTTTTCATTTTTGCATAGGAGACTGAGGTATTTGGAGATTTTACTTTTATTGACTACTGAAATAATTAGGGAAAAAATGTAGCTTCCTGATATCTGTTTGCTTTATCTTGTAGCAGAATACCTAAATATCCCATCACATCTTTTGAGGGATTTTAAGCTACAGGTGATGTGATTCCTTATTGACACAGAAACGTGGCTTTATAATTTGGCTGTGAATTGGCATCAGATGCTGGACAAACTGTCATGCACCAGCATTTCAAGCAACATCGACTCCTAACTATGTAACTTCATGACATCTCTTTCAAACTCAGCAAAGTTTTATGAATGCTAGCTCTGTGCCATGGTTATGCTGAGACAGGGCAGCACTGTTGTATGTTAAGACCAGCTGTAGCCAAGGAGCAATTATTCATCTTCCCAAGTTATAGTTTTTGGTTAAGTAATGCTTACCCTATAGATGATTTTATGCTTAACTCTTAGTATGTGCACACTGTAGTGTGTGGAGACATACTTTCAGCGGTCACCACCCTCTTACTCCCTTCTCTCTCAACTATGGTGTCCTTAGGATTTATACTTCAGGAAATTAAAATGAGTGCAGATAATAACAAACGCCCATATTAGTACCACTCAGTAACAGTTAACATTTTGTGACGTTTGTTTTCAGCCTTAATAAATGTCTTCATTGAGAAAACCCCTGATTTCCTTCCGCACACCCTGTCTTCTGAAGCAACTACCATTGTGAATTGGATGTGTTTCTTTCTAACAATCAATTCTCCTTATTTACGGAAGTTATATTGTATAAGTTCACAGCAAATGCTGATTCAGTGAATACTGAACAGCTTCTCCGGGGAGAAATTCAGGGTTAGGTTTCCTGCAAGCCTCTGTCCACAACATTTTCATCAACTTATCAATACATAACCTTATTTTATGTGTGCTTCTCTTTAAAGATACCTTATTTAATACATTTCGTTCATTCATTAACATTGAACTCATGGCCAACAGCATCATAACTCATACCTGAAGGAAGTGTATCTAACACACACGTTTCTCCCTGAGACAGACCCCAGACTTTCTGTGCTTAGGCTAGCCAGCACTTCCACACTATGCTTGGGAGCCCTTTTAAACAACAAAATCACTGACAAAAAAGAACAAAAATGCAAAAAATGTGGCACTAAACAGACTGAAAAGGACACTTATTTACAGTATGAGATATGAAACAAGAAGGCAAAACATTGCCTTGTTCAGCTCCAGCTGGGAATAGCACAGCAACTCGGATTTTACGCTGCTCTGTGCAAGTCAGCCAGTGGCAGTGAGGGTGCTACAGAGTATTGATTCTGGGGTTACAATGATATTCTGGTGAGCAGGTGAGTTCACACATACATAATCTGTGAATAATGAGGATCAACTGTACTTTCAGTCTTCCCAAATCCTCCTCTACCCTCTACCCCTTTTCTTGAAGCTATAAATTACCTTTTGCACCCCTTGAGCAATTTTTTTTAGGTAAAATCGATGTATAACACTACATTAATTTCAGATATACAACACAATACTTGGATCTTTGTATACAAGGTACAACTACAAAGTGATCATCACAATAAATGTAGTTACTGTCTGTCACCATATAATTGACCCCCTTCACCTATTTTGCCCACTCCCGACCCCCGTCCCCTCTGATAACCACCTATCTATTCTCTATAGCTAGGAATTTTGTTTGTTTTGTTTTTTTGATTCCACATATGAGTGAAATCATATGGTGTCTGTCTTTTAGTCTGACTTATTTCACTTAGCATAATACCTAAAGTCTATCCATGTTGTCAAAAGTGGCAAGATTCCTTTCTTTTCATGGCTGAGTAATAGTCCATTGTGTGTGTGTGTGTGTGTGTGTGTATACCACATCATATATGCATATATATATATATGTATATATACACACACACACACACACCACATCTTTATCCATTCATCTGTCGATGGACACTTAGATTGTTTTCATATCTAGGCTATTATAAATAATGCCACAATGAACATAGGGTCTACATATCTTTTCAAGTTACTATTTTTGTTTTGTTTGAATAAATACCCAGAAGTTGGTAGCTGGATCATATGGTAGTTTGATTTTTAGCAATCTCCTGTCTTTTAAATTGGTAGCCACATAGGTGTGGTTGTATTGTTGATGATGGTAGCTATGCGTGTGTGTGTGTTGAGGGGGGAGGTGGGAGGGTCTTTAGAAAAAACAATTAGTTTGATATTTTCTAGTTCTTCTCTCTGAAGCGTTTTGCTCCTTTGCTGCATGTGCACAGTTTCTATTTCTTCTTAGGGGCTGCTTATCATACATTTAAAATGTACCTACTGTGTGTCTTTTCTAACCTCTGCACACTTACCACTTCCCCAATTCTCGGGAAAGGCTCCACAGAGATAACAGGGCTGAGTATATCCCTGGGCTAAGTACAACCCTGAGCCCATCTGCTCTGGGCTCAGTTTTCAGAAGGTGTCGACTTCTGCTTCCCTTTTATTTTGAAAGACTCTCTGACATGGTTTGTGCCAAGGAAAAGGGTGACTTGCTCTGAGGAGAATCTAGTTTGTTTCTTGGAAGATTTCAATTATGTGCTCTCACTGTCTTCAAACACCTTGCTTGGTCATATACTTTTTCTATTTCTGTTTTGATTGCTGAACACACACACACACACACACACAAACACACACACACACACATACACCTTTGTTTGTTTTTACCTTGTGCTTAAGTCTATTTAGGTGGTTCTTTTTCTTCCTTGTTGGTGTCACTCATTATTAACCCTACTCTTTCTTACTTGGTTCTTAAGAGAAAAAGTACAAAAATGTTGCAAGAATATTTCAGAAAATTTCTGCATACCCTTTAACCGTCTTTACCAGTTGTTAAAATTTTGCCCCATTTGCTTTATTGTCCTCTTTCTCAACTATTTGAGAGTAAACTGCAGACTTTGTGCCCCTTTACTGCTAGATATTTCAGTTGTATTTCCCAAGAACAAGGATGTTCTCTTAAATAACCATAGTACAATGATCAAGATCAGAAAATGTAATACTAATAAAATACTATTATCAAATCTACATTCCATATTCAAAATTTATCACCTGTCTTTTTTAATTGAAGTATAGTTGATTTACAATGTTGTGTTAGTTTCTAGTGTACAGCACAGTGATATATATTCTTTTTCATTATAGTTTATTACAAGCTATTGAATATAGTTCCCTGTGCAATACAGTAGAAATTCTTTATCAAAATTTATCAACTCTGTTAATATCCTTTTTACCTATTATCTCCTTGGTTCAGATCATACATTGCATTTAGTTGTCATGTTATCATCTTTCTTTCTTCCTTTCTATTTTTTAAATTTGATTTTTTAAAGTAAGGTTTTTTGAGTTTTAATTTACGCAGTCCAATTTATCTCTTTACCGGTTAATGGACAGTTTGGGGCTGTTGTGAATAAAGCAGCTAAAACATTTGTATTCAAGTCTTTGTATGGAAATGTGTTTCATTTCTCTTCAGTAAATAGGGCTGGGATTGCTAGGCTGTTAGGTAAGTATGTGTTTAACTTAGTAAGAAACTGCAAACTGTTTTCCAAAGTAGCTGTACCATTTTGCGTTCCCACTAGCAATAAATGAGATTTCCTATTGTTTCACATACTTGCCAGCCCTTGGTTTTTCTCTTTTTCAAAAAAGCCATCCTAATAAGTGTGTAATGTTATTTTGTTTGGTTTAATTTGCATTTCCCTAATGACTGATGTTACTGAGAATCTTTTCATGTAAATAGTTGCCACTTGTGTCTTTGGTGAAGTGTTTGTTCAAATCTTTTGTGTTTTATTGGGTTCTTTGTATTCTTGTAAGTGAGTTATAAGAATATTTTATGTATTCTAGACACAAGTCCCTTGTCAAATATATGTTATGCAAATATTTTCTCCCAGTCTATGGTTTGCCTTTTTATTTTCCTAGCTGTATTTTTCTTTACATTTAGACCTATGTTCTATTTCAAATTGATTTTTTATATGGTATGAAGTATGAATCCAGCAAACTTAACTTTTTTTTTTTTGCATATATGTGTCTACTGGTCCAGAAACTTTTGCTGAAAAAATTCCACTGACTCTATATGTGGGTTTATTTCTTAAAACTCTGCTTAGGTCTCTTTGAGCTTCTTGCATCTGTGATTGTCTTTCAATAATTTTAGGAAATTCTTAGCCATTTGAAATAGTTCTTCAAATATTCCATCTGCTTGGCTTTCTCTCCTTCATCTGGAAATCTAATTACGTGTGTGTTAGACCACTTGATATTGCTCTGTGCGTCTCAGATATTCTGAACCTCTTTTTCTTTAACACTTTAAAAAATCTTTGTGATTCAGCTCAGATAATTTCTATGGACCTATCTTTAAGTTTGCTAATTTTTTTCCAACTTATTTGTCTGCTAGTTAGCCCTTTAAGGAATTATTCATCTCTCATATCTTTTTTTCCTAGCATATTTTATTTCTTTCAAAAAATGTTTCTCTGTTGAAATTCCATTATCTCTTGTATAAGTTTCCACTAGTTCTTTTAATATGTTAAATTTTAGTTTTTGGAGATTTTGCACACACAGAGGTTCTTAAGTTTGTGTGCTAATTTATGCTAATATGCATGCAAATTAGCACCCAGGAATATGTTTTATTTTTACTTAACTCTATTCCCCCCAACATTATGTAAAACAGGGACCCCTTTCCAAATAAAATTAAGGTGAGATTCCTTTTGTCATGAACAGCTCTGTAAGTTGGATTATATTTAGGTAACATCTGAAAGAGTTCAAGTGAAGGAGAGTGAAGAATTGTGTACTTTTTAAAGCCCTGTGGTTGAGGCTTTCAGTGTCAACTTGAGAACATCATCAATCATGGTATCATGAATCCTCAGTTAGGCATCTTCCTATATACTGCATTTATGTAGGAAGAAACCCTGTCTTATAAAAGGTAATGACTTTCTGTTGTACACTCTGAACTCTAAACAAATGCTCAACCTGAAACCAAACCAGCAGCAGAGGAACACCAAGAATTAGATACGGCAGGATTCTTATTTCGTGGACTAATCCACAGATGCCCCTCTCCTGGCAAGGACTGTGCAAATCCAATACTGTTTCATAATCACCAGATCTCAAAATTTTAGGTAAACTCATTATCACAGAGTAAACAAAAATGCTTACTTTTCATATTCCTTACATCAAAGGTATTATTAACTGGCAACGTGGAACATCTTATAGAAGGGAGAAGCTCTGTTTGAGATTTTTACCTTGGTTTTACATCTGTATTATTTCATGTACATAAAGATTTAAAATGGGTGTTACATCAAGTGAGTATGTAAGACTCAAGTATTGACTATTTGGGGACAAAGGCATTTAATTTTGCTTTAGGCACTATTTTAAGAACTTTCTCTACATTAATTCATTCCATCCTCATAGTAATCCTCTGAGGTAGGTACCATTACTGTCCTCACTTTAGAGATGAGGACATTAAGGCGCCGTGAAGTTATGTATTCTGAGCAAGATCGCTGAGTGGGGAGGTGTTTGAGTCTTGACTGGAAGCCAGGCTGGTCCAGAGTCCTGGCTGTCAGTCCCGATGCTGCCGCCTTGCATGTACACGTGACAACTGACAAAACACCAGGAATTGTTCTTAAGATTCCCTGCGAACATTTCTTTTCCCCAGTCTAACACGTTAAAAATCATCTCTAAGTAGTTTGGCCTTTATTTGCTCCCGTTTTTCTTAATCTATATAATACGTCAAGGGCAATACCCAGCGTTACAATATTTGTCTGTAAATATTTAATGAGAGACATGTAGTACATCTCTGAGCCGCAGATGCTTCCCTCTGCCTTGACATGGACAGGTCACTGTCCTGTGCTGTGAGGTTAGCTCTTCCCACTGGTTTGTGAGCTCCCTTAAGAGGAGAACCGCATCGTGCATTTCTCTTTGTGTCTCCACAGAGCCCGGCTAGCCCAGAGTTCCTGGCTACCTGCTTATTGATGAGGACTGCAAGGCAACTGTCCAGCCTTCCCCACTGAGACACACGTGCAGACTGTTCACATAAGTCATAGACACTCATGTGTTGGGGTAAGTCATTTAATAGCTGTAATTCCAGCCAAATGTACATTTATATAGCAATGGTTGAAAAATGATGGGTGGTGTAAGATGGTCTGTTTGACTGGGAGTACCATATGTTTCTACTTTTTCTACCTGTAGTATAGGAATACGGTTCTCAAAAAGGGAACATTTGGGAAATTTAACATGCATTTCTTCCCTTTGCATACTACGTAGAGATTTCATGTTGCTTCAAGTAAATCTGGAATCGTGTCTGATTTAGGTTGAGAGTCCTGTCATCTGGCATAGTAGGCATTTCACATAGTAGGTTCTCAGTAAATGCCAGTGGAATTTTTTTTTTTTTTAAATTTTAAGCATTAAGCCTGTTAGGAGAGGAGTCATGGTAGGAAGAATTTTTCGTCAAAGACCTTTTGGATCTATTGAAGCCTGAGCTTTTGCTCTCTAGGATATGGGACAGAACATTGTTGCCGACACACTGATTTTATTTTCCACGTAGTCCCCGTTCTTTAGTAACTTTTTCCACCACAAAATCATGACTGACACTTTAAAAAAATACAAGACAAAACAATCATTTATAAATTTCTTTCTGCGCTAGAAAGACACAATAAGACAAGTGTTTTTATGAGATAAGGGACATTTCAGCGACATGGTGAGGCATGAATTGAGGGACAGCAACCAGGCCCACCAGCTAAATGATTATCTGCAGTTGCCAGAGTGAGCAGGTTCCTGAGCTGATGAAGCCGCTGACCTTGGCGTATTCATCATCATTTCCCCAGGGGACAGAAACCAATATCTCTGTTCTTGTGAATACACATCCATAAAAGGAGACACAGCCCAGTGGAAAAGACTCTGTGTGTATAGGTGGGGGGGTGTGTATATAAGAAAGGGGGGGGGAGATGGCTTCTTACATTTTCTTTCCTCATTTAACATCTTTCTATTTTTACTGAAAAGGGAAGATGACCTCAGTCCCTCATCTGCAAGCTCAGATTTATAATAGCTACTCCAGTCTACAAGCCTGCAAGGGGCATAGTTTTTCCTTATAAGGGAGCTGAATAAGGCTGAAAAACGTGGATAATCTGTGTTATCAGCTCTCGGGCTGTGATTGCCATCCGATTAGGGGAGGCCAGAGGTGAGGGACGTGACCTTGGATGATGCTGGCGCTGTGTCCCCCAACCCCCCACCCCAGCGTGGTACTGACTGCTTCCTGGCCTGGAGTTTAGAGGCGAACTCCGGGACCTGAGTTCACAGACAGCACCAAGCCTGCTTGGGTGGTAGGTGGAGCAGAGCCCCATCGAAGCAGCTGTGGGGAGGGGGTCTGGGTGCGAGGGTGCCTGGTGCTCCGGCCACAGTGGTCTGGAACGAGGTTCAGGAGGTAAAAGAGGATATATTTCCGGAAAGAAGTGGTTGCCATTTGTTTTCGCCTGCTAGGGCTGCTGTGACAGAGTACCATGGACTGGATGGCTTACACAACAGAAATGTGTTAGCTCATCGCCCTGGAGGCCGGAAGTCCGCGATCGGGTGTCCGCGGGGCTGGCTCCTTCTGAGGGCTCTGAGGGAGAGTCAGGTCCCTGCCGCCTCCTCGCAGCTGGTGGTTTGCTGGCAGTCTTCCGCGTTCCTTGACTTGTGGACGCATCAGCCGCATCTCTGCCTTCATCTTTGCGTGACGTTCTCCCTGTGTGCCTGTCTGAGTCTAGATTTCCCCCTTTTACAAGGACACCAATCATATTGAGGTAAAAGCCTGCTTCAGTATGACCTCATCTTAACAGTAGTTACAACTACGATGACCCAGTTTCCAGAGAATGTCACGCTCTAAGATACTAATGGTTAGGACTTCAACCCCTGAATTTTGAGGCTGGGGGAGACACAACTTAGCCCCTAACGGAATTTAATCTGTTGACAGTTGATTCATTTGGGTTATTTTCTTGATTTTCACTTAAAAGAAATAGGGAAGGGACATGAAAACAGGAGAGGAAATGGTGGAGCTGTTGGTTTTTTGTTTTTTTTTTTTCTGACAAGAAATCAGGACGTGGGAGAGTGAAGCCTGTAGGGAGAAGTGGTCACATTCCTTCATCCTTCATCAGGATAGTGATGTTTTTGAGAACACCAACAGCACCTGAGTTGAAATATGATCTGTGGGTCAGAGGACCTGGGTCCCCATAGCTTTTGCAAAGTCCCTGTGGTATGTGAATTTAGCTGCCCAGGCAAAATCACCCAAAGTCCTTGCCTGATGCCTTTAGAAATGTGGGGGTGCTTACCCGAGGGGTCTTTCTCCTTTCCTGGGTTCTGGAGTTTGGTGGGAACTATTTGGGAAGGAGCAGGTCCTTCAGCAAAGTCCCATCCTTTCAGCTACTTATCTTCCTAGCCGTACAGTATTTTCAAAATAAAGGTTCTGTTTCCTTTAACAAATGCCAAGGTAGAATCATGTTTAGCTAAGACTGAGCACCGGGTGCTTTGTGAGATATTTTGTATGCATTATGTCAGCCCTCACAGAAACCATTATTATTATTATTATTATTATTATTATTATTATTATTATTATTATTATTCCCATATTCCAGATGAAGTGATCACAGCTCAGAGGTCAGCAACTCCGAACCCACGGGCTCACAGGAGGCAAGTGGCAGTCAATTTCTATCTGTATTCTTTTCACTCTGCTTCCCTGTTGCCCTAAGTTTTTAAGAGTAAATCTTTGAAGGATGTGGATTTTTTAAAAATTTAAATATTACATTGAGATAAGAATTCATTTGATCTCTTTGAGCCGCCAGTGGAAAACGAGGAGCCTGGATTTAGATGATTGCTATGTGTCCATGTAGCCCTAAAATGCATCTAAATTATGATTTTTATTTTCCTGTTTTGGATGTAAGAAGGAGAGGATGTAGGCTGTCAATCTGCTTTTTTTTTTTTAATGGAATTTCAACATCTCCTTGTGGAATTTCCTGGTTCTCAACCAAGTATGTAGACCCCATGTCTCAGAAGCTGGTCTATTTTGGACTGAGTGGGATAATAATCTGGTTATTTGGGGGATCTGGTGTTTGGAGCCTCATACTTTCTTTCCTCTTCTTCTCTTCTTGCCCTGTGTGCCTACTTCTCCCACAGATGTTCAGGGCTGACCACATGCAGTAGCCGGTCTCCCTGGCCAGGGAAACTTGCCTGCCTTTCTATGCTGAGGTCAGCTTCAACTCTGGGCACGTTTCCTGTGGGCCAACCAACAGGCTTTGACTGATTTAGTTCAGGAAGACTAGCTTGTTTGTGGATATGGTAATGACGCCAGTAAAATTCAATTATGGGATCCCAGAGGACTGTAGCAAGCGATAATAAATTAGGAAACATGAGCTTTGGAGTATCTGAACTGAAATTATAATGGGGCTATTGAAAAACAAACAAACAAAAATCCTAAGCATTCATTTAATAATAGATGCTGCCGCCTTCCCCACCAAAAATTAGTTCATCAACTAACCCTTTGTTCTTGTCATTAAAGAATATGCCTGAGACACAGCCAAGAACATTTTGTCTTAATTACTTGGTATTGTTGTCGCCCCCAGAGCACACCTGGCTTCGGGATAACTGGTACAAGGGAGGAAGCAGCCGCCTGGAGGGGCCTCCCAAGGCCACGGTACTAATCCCTGCTGGGCTCGCAGATGCTCTCCGCCCATGGCCTTGGGTTTCAGATTGCCATCCTGAGTTGAGGTCTGAATGGAGGTTGTAACCTCAGAAGGTCCGGCTAGCACTTAACCGCTGACATCCATCAAGAATGTCAAGGCTTGCATTGTCTCATTAATTTGAACCAGCTTTCCTGCCATCAGATCCTTTTTCATTCCTAACCTTTCCACTCTGCCTTTCTTCCTCTGTGAGCAGTTTATAGCCTCTCCTGTTTGTGCCTCCCCGCTGCGAGGTGCGCCCTGGAAGGCCACTGCTGGGGAAGAGTTTCCTTTGCCCTGCTGCATGCCCTCAGTGGAACTTGCAGAATTAGTGGGTGTTTCTTCTCCACTGTGAATGGCAAGCGCATGAAGGGAGAAAGACCATGTTAGGCAGTCTAAATATCTCTGCAGACTCTATTTTCCAGATAATTTTAATGTTGAAATGGTCCGTCATTGCTCTCTTCCTTCACTTTATTTCCTTTCTGATCCAGATTCCAACATCCAAGTGTAGAACACAGAACTGATGAACAGGAGATATGGAAAAGATAGCAAAGGCACTAAAAAAAAATCTGACTTAGCAGCACGGCATTTTTCACCTGCAGTAAATATCTCTTGCGGTATCTACTGAGACCACGCCTTCTTCTTGGAGACTTGGTCCAGACCCCCCACACCACAAGAAGGACTTGAGTGTAGATCATGCTTATGTTGCATGACCCGACGTGGCAGGTGAACTCACAACCCAGGCTGGCACAGCAGTATCTTGCTCCAGGAGCTAGAACGTCATAGGTTGGTTGTTCTGGAGCTTGGAAAAGGTAGAGCTTTGGAGTTTGGAGCCACCATTTTCATCCATCTGCACAGAGAGGTGGAAAGTGAGGGGTTGGGGGAATTTTGCCATGAATCAGAGATCTCCAAGGAAGCAGACACCAAAGATTGTCCATCCCTGAAGAGATGGGCAGGTCACTGCCTTGGCTCAGAGTGACTTTAACGTCCTAATTCTGGACCCTTGTGAAGCTCTACTGTACTTTTTTGGGTACCCTTAGGGTCTCCCAATAAAGTCTCCCTTTTTGCTTTGATTGATCCCGATAGGTTGGGGGTGTGTGTGTACATATGTGTGTGTGTACATATGTGTACACCTAACATTTCCTTGGGCTCGGATGGCATTTGAGAGCAGCGTTATGAATGGCTCTAGCATGAGGCGGAGTATAGTGGATAGGACCTTTAAATATGTATCGATAGGATGGTGAGAGTAGACCTGGCGTGAGGGTGGTCTTACTGTGGAAGGGTAACCCTCTGTACAGGATGACCCTCTGTTTCACCCCGACATCTTGCACATGTTCTAAGACCCTGTGCTGAATGCTGCCTCGTAAGCCCCCAGTCTTCATTGTATCTTTACCTCCTTTGCCTCTTGGCCAATGCCTGCCACAAGCCCCTCTTCTTAGCACCTTGAAAAATTTGTTTCTAAGATGTTCAGAGATGATAAAGATTTAATGTATCCTTCCAGCAGGGGTGAGGGGACCAGCAACTTGTGGCACACTGTCTTAGGGCTTGTCTAAATTAGGGGTGATTCTTTCCCTCACAAAGAAACGGAAGTTTCAGGACATCCAGAGACAAAAAGCAGCCAAAGGATTTTACTGTCTTTTTATTTCCCATGAAATACAAGGCTCAGCCGTGTTCATATTTTACCCACGCTGCTTCCTGGCCTCTGCCAGCAGAGGAATTCCATCCAGCGTCCCAGCTGTTCCGGGGCCTGCACGGGGTGGCTGGCTGGGAAGGGGGACACACAGAGGCTTTTGCTCCTGCCACAAATGTGCCTGGGGCTTCTGTGCAGGCAATCAAGTGACCTTCCTCAGGGCAAAACCAGTGGAAATGGCCAGGCTGACTCTCTCATTGAAGGGGAAACTGTCTCTCCATCGTCTCTCAGAAAATAAATGAGCAAGCATAATCTCTAAATATAGGGACCCTTAAAGAGATTATGTGTCCTATTTTCTTGGTGTGTGTTATCTTCTGGGAAAAGGGCATGAGTCTTGGTGTAACTTGTTTAAGAACTGTGGTCACAGTTCATTAACCGCCAGTTCTCCTTAGAAGGAAAAATCAGAATACAAGGTGTTTGTGCCGGTTATAACACACGGTGTGTCAAGCCCTGTGCCAGGTGTTTTTCTATATACTTCATTTGAATGTCACTACAGTAGGGCCATATAACGACTGATTTTTCTAAGAAGTTAAGTCAGCGCCTGAAAGGTCACATAGCTGGTAACTTACAAATCCAGTAAGCAAGAAGAGGTCACACAGCTGGCGTTTGGCCCTGAGTTTACCTGTTCCACTGCACTCCAATTGACAGTCCCTGAATTTGTCTGATAAGACTTCCCAGGGTGACTGCTTGCTAAAAATCCCGTCCTGGGACCCACCGCAGATTGAATAAACCAGAATCTTCTAGAAATGGGTACAGGAATTTATCCCAGGTAAAGCTTATCAGACAAGTTAGACAAATGCTGCTGTCATGCCTTCGATGATGCCCCCCCATTTACGTCATGCCGCCCCCCTTTTAACCCAGTGATTCTTGGCAAGGTGCTAAGGAAGTCTTTTCCTCTTTTCAATAAGCTTTTTTATTTTGTAATAATTTTAGATTTACATTTAAGTTGCAAAGATAATACAGAGAGCTCCCTATACCTTCTCTAACCTATTTCCCTTTGATATTACGATCTTACACGACCACGATGCATCTGTCCAAACTAAGAAAGTGCCACTGATCAATTATTAGCTGTGGGAGGCCATTGCTTATCCTGGGAAGGACAACAGAGAAGGAGAGGGAATCGTAGGAGAGCCCATCTTTTCTTTTTCTTTCCTTATTCCTCAGGAAGGCAAAGGCAGAGAGGGATGGTAGATGACACGTGATCAAGAAGAGATCTGAGTTCATTTTGCGCAGCATTTCCACCGTTCTGGTAAGAACGAAATATGTATGCATGTATGAGCTACACGATGGAAATCATGTGATTTTGGTAGTTTTGCGTATGAGTTAACTGCATGTCTATTTGCCTTTAAAACTGGCATTGCATGTGCAAAGATGAACAGTAAAAATTCACACTAACAGTTTACATCGTAAAATTTTCTTTACTTAGCATGACATTAAATAGCGAATTGAAAACACCATAACAAGTTGAGGTAGAGATTGGAGAAGACGGAAACAATTTTATATTCTCATTCAACTTTACTTTTCCCTTACTTTTTGGACAAGGAGCCCCACGTTTTCACTTTGCCCTGGGCCCCACAAATTATGCAGCCAGTCTCGCTGATTCCTAGTAGACAGCCATTGTCTTAACTTAATGAAGCCACTAATGGCGGCTGTTGTGGTACCCAGGCAGCTGAGTGGAAAGATCCCAGGCAGTTACAGCAGTGGAGAGGGCTTATTCTCCTATGTTAACCAGCCCTGCCTACCCTGATGGCTCCAGTCCCCTCAGGATGACTCCTCCTGTGGGGCACTCCTACATGTGGCCTGGGGGCAGGAGGATTCCTGTTGCATCTTCCCAGCGTCCACATGCTTTTTGATGCAGAAAGTGTAACAGCAAATGCCACATCAGGAAGCAGTTAGACCCTTGACCTGCCCCAGGCATGTGGCGTTTGCGTGGACCACTCTATATGATACTGCTTAATTATTTCTGTGCTCCTGTGGGCAGTTTTCCTTGTCTGGCTTGAATATTAAATCAAAGACATATCTTTTGCATCTACAAAACCTGCTAACTCATTCCACACAGAATGGGGTGTTTCTGAAAAGGCAGCACAGTGGGCTCAGGACAGCAGCTTTCATTTGTATCCAAAAACAAATTAGCCTAATGGAGCAGAACGGATACAAATGTCCACAAGACCAACCTGTACCAGCAAACAAAGCGTGGCTCTGGTAATGAAGGGCACAGTGGCATTTTCCTCTGCTTGGAAACTGGTGTTGCACTGTGCCTTTTAGAATAGGGTGTTCCTTTTAAAATAAGAAAGATTACCAGCTGACGGTGTGAGGTGCACCCTTCCCCACCAGGTAGGCTGTGGTCTTGTGACACACGGGAAGATGCCAGCCACCAGCGGGAGGGGTAACCCTTCACAGGCCTAGTTGACTGCTGGCAGCCTTGACTGTGGACTGGCCCTTCTTGTCCTGGTGAGAGTTGTGTCCCAGTAAGACATGTGACCAAGGATCGGGCAAGGTCAGTAGGTGGACAACTCCACGTGCCCCGTACCCCTCCGCTCTGTGGAAATCAGAACACGGGGGTCGTCGTAGCCTCCATCCGCCCCCTCCTCCTCCCTAGCCAGCCTCAGACAGTTCCTACCAATTTGCAGTTCTCCTCTGTTTGTTCTCAAGCCCTCCCCCACTACACGCACTTCTCATTTACACACTCAGAGTCTCTTTGGTGGAATTTTCTGGAATTGTCTCCCAGTTGGTCTCCCTGCCTCCTTCGACCTACCTGCTGTATAGATCTAGAAAAATGGTCCTTTAAAAACTGGAAATTGACCGTTTGGATCCTCCGGTTAAAATCCACTGTATCCATTTGTGAGGACAAAGCTTTTCCTCTTGGTTTTCAAGGTCCTAAAAACTTTTTCTAGAATATTCTTCCCCCAGCTGCCAGCAAGGCTCATTTCTTTCTTCCTTCAGAACATGCTTCAGACATTCAAACTGAAACCGACTGCCCCAACGCTCTCTATCCCCGTACCCCCACCCCCGTGTGTCTGGCTGCTGCACTCACAGCTTGTCGGCTGACATACTCTCTCTTCATTCGTCTTCTGTATGGTCTTTTTCTTCACTTGCACCCATGTAATTTCTGCCAAGTTGGATATTCTTCTCTGTCTTGTTTTGCTGCTGTATCCGGCCCCTGGCACTGCCTGGTCCACAGGAGGGGCTCAGCTCAATGGCTTTTTGTTGAGTGAATTGTCAAATGGATCTGAGCTTCACCTACTTCTCCAGCTGTGTCCCTGCCACATCCCTAAAAACCCGCCACACTCCAGCCTCATTAGATCCATGAGGATCTGGATCACATGTCCA